AATTGCCAAAGGATGTGTACATTCATTTTCAGCTATCTTATTACATGCAATTTTCTTCAGTTATCTTCTATGATAAATTTTTGAAAAATATTGTTCACAACCTTCATATGTCTTCAAAATGTATAAACTTTGTTGTTGTACTATGTTTCAAGATGTTCTTGAATTGCCAAGATTCATAAAACTTTTTTCACTGGTACTGAGGGTTGAACCTTATTTTTCAAGACTGGGTCTTGCCTCATTGCTCAAGTTGAGCCTGAATCCTTCTGCCTCCTCCCAGGGCACTGGGATCACAGGCATGTGCCACGCCAAACTCAAACAGCCTGGGGATGGACCCCTGGGTGCTGCTGCGGCCCTGAGGACACGGCTGACGGCGACCTGCTTGCCTTGCTGCTTTGGAGACTGCCTGTACTGGATTGTTGACTGGTGGTCATACCCAGCTGAATTGAACTAGTGTAGTGCTGGGGGTAGGAGGCCCACCTGAGGGTTGTTGCCAGCAGCGTAAGGCAGAACTGGAGAAGCTGCTGGGAGGCTGTTAGGGAAGCTGTTTGGAGAAGATGTTGGAGAAGCTATTGGAGCTGTTGGAGCTGCTGGTTCTCTTGGGCTATTTTGCTGGAGGACCTTGTCATGCTGGATTTCCTGATGAACTTGGTTGTTCCTGTCGGAGGAGCTTGGGACCTCATTGTCTCTGAGAATGGCTATGGTTCATTTTGGAGGAGCTCTGGTCCTCATCTTGAGCATCACTCCCTGGCTCCAGTGGGGCAGATGGGGCACTGCTCAATCTCATGGAGAAGCTGGTCATGTTGGCTCTCCTGATGGGCATTCAGCTTTCCTCATTGCAGAAGGAGCTCGGGACCTCACTGTTGCTAAGGATGGCTGTGGGACTTTTGAGGCAGCTTTGGTGCTTGCCTTGAGCGTTGCTTCCTAGCTCAAGTGCAGGTCCCTCAGCCTGCTAGTGCAGATCCTTCATCCTGCTGGCGTAGACTTTCTCGCTTCCAGCACTGACCTTCGGGCCTTTCCAACACAGATCCATGAAGTGGGCCTGTGTGAGCCATTCATTGTCGTGGCCTCCAATTGGACTTGTGAGAGACATTGTTAGGAGCTCTAGATTTTTAGCTGGATTCTAGCAGGATATTAGGACCCGAGCCCTCAACTGTATTCTTTGAGCTTTAATATACAGACAAATTTCCTTCACTCTTGTATATGATTCTTGGGTGATTACAAAATAATCTTATAAAATATGCGCATGCCTGTAATCCCAGCACTTGGGAGGCTAAGGTAGAAGGATCAATGTGAGTTTGAGACCAGCCTGGGCTACAAAGTGAGCTCAAAGCCAGCTTGAACTGCAGAATGAGACCCTATCTCAAAAAGACAATAAATGTATAAATCTTATAAAATGTGTCCTGTATTGTATTGTTTCTCCTGCGAAACCCTAAACCGCTGCACTATCCAACCATATCTTTGGAAATGTGACCCCATTTTCCAGTCCCTGCTGCCCTCTTCTCAACTTGGCAACCAGTGATCCTGTTCAAGCCAGAGATGATATGAGCAAGTAATCCCAGCACTCTGGGAGGCTGAGGCAAGAGGATCTCACGTTTGAGCTCAGCCTGGATAATTTAACAACTTTGGAAACTATGTCCTCAAAAGACAAAAGGTTGGGCTGCCGGGATGGCTCAGTGGTCTAAAGCACCTACTTGGAACAAGCTTGGCAAAGCACAGGGACCGCGGTTCAATCCCCCAGCACCACATGCCAGCCAGTCCCGCCCCCTGGTGGGCTGAGCTGGCCACCACACACACAATAAATAAATAAATAAATAAATGTTAAAATAATAAATAAACTTAAAAAAAAAAAAAAAAGACAAAAGGTTGTGGATGTAGTTCAGGGCCAAGGCTCGGTTCCATCTGCAGTACTCCCAGCCACATCCACCTCTGCTTAAAACCTCCATGGCCCCTACCCTTCAGAGTGAGAACCAGAGCATGGGGTCACCTACAAGCCTCCCATACCCTGCACCCTACCTGGAATCCCAGGCTTCACACTGCACTGGGGCTCGCCCACCATGCACTAGGCCCCCTCACCCCCTCCTGGGCAAGCTCACAGCTTGCACAACCCATTCCCTCTGCCCGAATGTTCTTTCCCCCAGACACCCATGGGGCTCAACCCTCACCTACTTTCCCCACCACACGCTGGGGATGGAACCCAAGGCCTTCACAGTGAGCAGCATCCCCAGCCCTTTTTGTTCTTTATTTTAGACAAGGTCTTCCACAATTGAGATCCTCCTGCCTCAGCCTCCCTGGGATTCCTGGCCTGCATCATTGCACTGGGCCCTTCCTTTGGATATTTGCCCAGGTGCTACCTTGTCAGTCAGCAAGGCCCTCGTGGGCCATCTAATTTAAAATTTGGAGCAGCGCAGGAGAAGGGCCCGGTTTGATCCCCAGGCCTGCCATGCTAGCCCCGCCCACAGGGAGCGCTGAGATGGCAATTGAGTCTGGGCGTGGTGGCATGCACCTGTAATCCCAGCTCTTGGGAGGCTGTAAACAGGCTGTAAACAGCCCAATCTAGTAGTGAGACCCTGAACACCCAGTAGACCCTTCCCTAAAAGACAAAAATGAATAAATAAAAATTTGGGTCAGGCATGGTTGGCACATGCTGATAATCCAAGGACTCTGGAGGCAGAGGCAGAAGAATCAAGTTCGAGCATAGCCCAGGCAATTTAGCAACTTCTCATATGCTTCAGGCTGGCCTTGAATTTATTATTTACTTATTCATCTATTTATGTGATACCAGGAATTGAACTCATGACCTCACACTTGCCAGGCAAGTACTGTGCCGCTGAGCTAGATCCCTGGCCTTGAATTTATTATTGTAGCACACAGTGGTCTCAAACTCTTTTTTTTTTTTTTTTTTTTGCAGAACAAGGATTGAACTTAGGCCCTTGCGCTTACCAAGCGAGTGCTTGTTCTACTAAGCCAACTCTCCAGCCCCCTGGTCACAAATTCTTGGCAATCCTCCTACCTCAGTCTCCCAGGTGCTGAGATTATAGGTGTGTGTGTGTGTGTGTGTGTGTGTGTGGGCACTGTCATGCCTGTCAAAATAAAAAATATTCATAAAAGGGGTTGTTTTATAGCTGAGCAGCATAAGCACCTGCCTCGAAAGCTCAAGGTCCCGAGTTCAATCCCCAATACCACAAAGTAAATAAATAAATAAATAAATAAATCATAAAAGGCTTGGGATGTAGCACAGTGCAGAGGCCCTGGATTCAATCCTCAGTCAATAAATTTCCAAAAGTAAAATACAATAGAATTGGCTTCCCTGCAGCCCTAGGAGTCCCTGCCTCCCCTTTCCTCCCATCTCCCCCACAGCTGGGGCTCTGTGACGCACAGACTCTTTCCTTTCTGTGTCCTGCCACATCCCTGGCCCCCAGGGCAACACAGAGTGGGGGCTCCATAAACAGTTCTCAGACAAAGGATTGGAACTTGGACCCCCAACTTGCACCATTTGCACACTAGGGGATTCAAGGCCTCCCACTCTGGCCTCATCTGCTGCATGAGCCACTTTGGCCCTGAGGATCTCCCTCGACCACCTGTGCCCTGGAAGTCCTGGACTCCAACTGGCAATCCTCCTGCCTCAGCCTCCCAACACTCCTTGCCATTCATTTGTTGTGCTACTATTTAGCAGCTCTCAGTGGATGACACAGGCAAGGCGCTGGGACTCTCTGTGGCAGGAGCTGTGGCTCCTGTCCTCCACTACCCACTGGCCCAGATCCACAACCCACCCCCTCGCGCACCCTGCACCCAGAAAACTTCAGTGGCCTCCCCCACCACTTGTCCTTAATATTGGGCAGGGCCTCTAGCAGATCAAACAGGGTCACACCAAAGCCTGCTTGTCGGGTGCTCAAGACAAGTCTGGACAACTGGAAGGGGTGCGACTGCTTCTGTGCCAAGTCACATCCCTTGGCCAGATTTTCCAGACAAGAGGGAGGGCTGGCACTGTGTTCCTTGCCTGCCTGCCAGCCGGCTAACCTGCACCGGAAGTCTGGGCCAGGTGCCAGGCACAGACACTCTGGACAGCAGGGTGCTGGAGCCACTCCAGCCTGAGTCGGGGCACGCTGGGAAGAGAGGGACAATTCGGAGTGGAGTAGGACAGGTCTGGGCCACTGCACAGATGGGACAGCTGGGTGCAGGGGACGTGCCAGGCGGTGTGTTTGGGACTTCTTGCAGCAAGATGCAGGCAGGGGCCTAAAAGGCACATCTGCTGCCTTCCTGCTCCCCTCCCCTATGGTCAGCTGGTCCTGCTCGGGTCTTCCCAAAGGTCCGAGGAAGGAAAGAGGACCTCAGGCCTGGCTGGGCTGAAGCTCAGGGCCAAAGACAGGGAATAGGGGCAAGAGAGGGAGCTGTAACTTGCACCCCCCTTGCCCAGAGATTGAGGGCTTCTGTATCTTGCTGGGTGTGGTCAGCATGGAACAGGTGGATGGAGACATCCCCAGGGGAGAGAGGGCCCCTGCTGCCCATGGAGCTGGCCAAAGTGGGAAGGTGGGAGGCTCAGGAACTGGAGCGCACTGCAGGGTGATTTTTTTTTTTCTCCCAGTGCTGGGAATATAATTTTTTAAAATTACGAGATAGTGTCTCGTAAATTGCCCAGACTGACCTCAAAGTGACAGTCTTCCTGCCTCAGCTTCCAAGAGTGCTGTGATTACAGGTATCACATCAGTTGACGGCTTTTGACTAGAGGAAGGGACAGGATACAAAAGGTCCCTGAGCAATAAAGTCAAGCAGGGGGTGACATTCAGAGTCCAGATGCTGAGTTGCTGGATCCAGAAGAGGCTGGAGTAGGGAGGGGACAGGAGCTCCAGGACCCCATCCAGGGGGTTTGGAAGTGGGGACAGGTAAGGGGGTCGCGACCCAGGAAGAGGTGGGGGCGGGGCCCTGGGCAGGGCGGGACGGGCGCGGGTCCCCCGGGCCGGGGCGGGGCCCGGCTGGCGCTGCGCAGACTCGGGGCGGCCGTCGCGCATGCGGGGCTCGCTAGCTGCCTCCGGTGCCGCTGCCACTCCCGGGAGCATGAAGGACCGAACCCAGGAGCTCCGCACGGTGAGTCTGCCCGCAGTCCTCCCGCCCGGCTCGCGCGCCATCGGGGCGCCCCTGGCCGGAACGTGGGGGACTCGTGCGAGCTGAGAGACCCCGACCCCTTCCGGATCCCTTCCCTCCGACCCTCTGGGGGTCACCGGTTCGGCCACGTTGAAGGCTAGAGCCGAAGGTCCTGGATAAACTTTTAGGCGCCCCCTGTGTTTTGGGGGGATCGGAAGGTGGGGTCTGGGTGGCGGGATGGAAATTGGAGCCCTCTCCCCCACGAGAGGATCGGTCGGGTCTTGTCAGTCCTTCCGCTAACCCCGTCGCTGAGCCTGCAGTGTAGACAGACGGCGGGACCAGCACCCCTACCCGGGTGCGCTGTGGGTCGGGATCTGCGCCGGTTGGGGGCTCCTGGGCGCGAGCTGTTTCCGGGCGCCGCCGCCTGGGACCTGCGCCTGCCCTCACCTGTGGCTCCCGACTGCCTTCGCAATCGCGATCAGTACCGCCCCAAGTTGGGGGGATTTCACCCGAACGCCACCCCCAGGCCCACCTTCGGGGCAGCCCATGATGCTAGTCCCAGACCCTCCCTGGGCTACCCCGGCTGACTGCGACCTGGATCTATTTTTCCACCTGTGTCTGGGAGGCCCCTGGGGTGTGGCTCCTGGGGCGGGGTTCGGGGAAAGGAGAGACTGCAGCACCACAGTACGGAGTCTGGAGCTGCTGCCTGCCAGTCCGGACAGAGACCCCTGCCCAGCTCCTCCGCAGCGCTGCCCTTCCCTGCTGGGGGGGGGGTCACGGAGGGGGGGCAGTGACAGAAATGAACCCAACTTGTGGGTTAGGGGGAGCCAGGGCTCCGTGCCAGTTGTCTAGATTTTTAGCTTGGGTACCAGGAATTGAATCCAGGACCTTTGCACTGATCTGCCTTCCAGGCTCCCAGCCTGTTTTATTTTGAGACATCTTGCTAAATCACTAAATTGCCCAGGCTAAGCCTGAACTTGTGATCTTCCTGCCTCAGCCTCCCAGAGTGCTGGAATTGTAGGTGTGTGCCACCACACCTCACTGACATTGAGTCCCTGGCTGATCACCCACCCTGCAGACAGGCCCACCTACTGATCCTGGGCACCCTTTCCCTGTGCCCCACTTACAGGTAGAGCCCTAGATCTGCCCAAGTGTCCTGGGCCTTTGACTCAGTGGCTAGTGCTCTCTGTCCCCTCAGTGTCCCCATGTCCATGTTTGGTGTCCAGGACAACTCGGTCTCCCCTGCTCATGCTGACCCCAGCAGCCTGAAGTCCTGTGCTACTCTTGGCTGAGCGGCAGCCAGGCCCCAGGAGAGGCTCGGAACATACCCTTGCCAGCCCTTGTGGTTGCCCTCAAGCTTCCTGTGCAGTGTTGTGTCACACAGCTTCGGCTCTCCCAGTGCTGTCTGCCCACATAGGCATCCCTCCTGGGTCGAAGAGGGGTACGAGTGGGACCCAAAGCCTGCTATGCATGGCCCAGGGAACAAGGTTCTTAAGTCTGACAGCAGCCTCTGGCTTTTCACCCTGCATCTCCTCCGCTGAAGGGGAAATTGAGGCACAAGGGAAGTGAGGTTTGCTTGATAGAGGAGCATGGTACATAGAGGACCTCTGCTCAGTCCTGAAGACAGTCGGACAGGCCTGGCTGCCACGGGGGGGTACTCCAAGGAAAGCGTGGCTTTTAAGCAACTTGAAGCCTGATCTCTGCCTCTCACCAAGGCCTGGCCTGGCTTTGAACCAGTGAGGCTGCCTTTGCACACAGTCCAGGCCCAGCCTGAGTGTTTGGAGCCCCAGAGACTGTGCCCACTGTCACCTGGTGCTGCCCATGGAAGGCTCCTAGCAGCCTGGAGGGGTGGCTGCCAGGAGCCCATTCTGGCCAGGACGAGCAGTCAGTCTTGGGGCCACTGCCACTCCTAGAGCTCCTTTTTCCTCGTGGCCTGGGGCTCCCATCTGGACAAGTAGGAAATGGGAGAACCTAGGACCCTGCTAGAACTCAGGGTGAGAGGTGCGGTCCTAAGCTCCTGACTGTGATGCCACATTTGGAGAAGACCTTGAACCCCTAGAGTCAGAATTTTCAACCCAGACACCCCTGAGAATGAAGGTCTGGACAATGATAGAGCTCAGGAACACAGCAGCTGTCCCCAGCTTGCCCCCTCCTCTCCTCCTCCTCCGCCTCCTCCTCCTTCTCCCCCACCCAGTGCCACCGCATTTGGAAGGCAGGCAAGAGAAGGGAGCTTATTTATAAAAGTCACACTTGGGGAAGGAGCTGGCGCGCATCCTCAGCGCTCTGCAGGCCTGGCCCAGCCTCCAGCCTCTGCGGCCCCCATGTCAGGCGGCTCTCCCAGCTGCGGAGGTGGCACTGAGGGACCAGCACTGTAGGGGCATGGGGACCTCAACACTTAGACCCTTGGGCTGTAGAGGGGCTCTTGGGGTCCCCAGACACACACACACACACACACACACACACACACACACACACACACAGGAATGTAGTGACCTCTTCACCCAGTACAGAGCCTCTCTGGTTTTCTGTCTGGAGACATTCTCAAGCTGACCCACCCCACCACCCCTGGGCCTAGAATTCCCACGTCTACACACTGGACTCAGTAGGACACTGCGCCTGCCACAGGAGACCGGGGAGGAGCAGGAGAGAAAGTTGGGAATCCTGGAAGCAAACTTGGCATATCAGATGTGGTGGCACACACCTGTAACCCCAGCGCTTTGGGGGACTGAGGCAGAAGGGCCTCAAATTTAATTCAGGGGCTTAGTAAGACTTTTTCTCTAAATTAAAAAAAAATAATAATAAGTAAAGGTGACTCTGAATGTAGCTAATGTAGAGTCCCCAAGTTCAATTCCCAATAAAACATACATACAAAAGGACTTGGGGTAGCTCAGCAGAGGGGTGATCCAAAAGGAGGGGGCAGCTAGAGGGAAGGCAGAGTATGGAATGCACCAAGAATAGAAAAGGGAGGGGGACAGCTGGCCTCTGGGGTCCTCGAAGGACAAGAGCAGGCCCAGCTGCGTGCTGGGACCCCCTTGCCCCCTCTTCCCCAGCCATATACCTCATCTCACATCTGTAGAGCGCTGCCAGTGTGACATTTGTGTGGAGGAGGTAAAGGTGGGGGTCATCTCCCTCGTTCTCTCCCAAGTGCTCCCAGGGGTTCCTAGAATGATGATGGATTTGGGCACATTTTCATCTGGGGTGCAGATGGCATGGCCTCACGGGACTGTCTAATCCAAGCGTGAGCACAGAAGTTTAGAGATGCAGCAGGGCCCAGGGCCCAAGGGGGCAGGCGGCCGGGAGCCTGGCGTGGCCGGCGGGCATAGAGAGGGTGCAGGGCCCAGCCACTTTCCTGGAAACCCAGCTTGGCCTCCCGCACACTGGACTTGCTCGGGGCTTCTTGGCACTAGTGATATTGACTTTGATTAGTCATTAAAAAGAGGAAGGGAAAAAAATAGTCCTCAGGCAGACAACAGCTAGCGTAGGACTCAGCAGTGATGAATCAACCCTACCGGCTGGCATGACGCCATCACCCCATTGCCAGCAGCCAGCCTCTGTGTCTCCTGGAGGAATCAGGTGCTTGCTTCCAGGAAAGTGTCCTGGAATCCTGGCACCTCTGCCAGGAAGGCCACCAGGACTACCCGCATACCACCAGGGGAAGCTCAGGGGTTCCTGCTTCCTATGGCCCTGGCAGGGTTTCTTTTCCTCGAGGTCCTTTTAGTAGGAGCCAGACTTGCTCCTAACCCTCCTATTTCTGGATCGTGCACGCTGGAGGTAAGGAGGCTAGAGCTGAGACAGCCAGCCAGCCATGAGGAAGACCATACCAGCGGCTGGTAGGGAAGCACAAGGGGCTCTTAAAGACCAGCCTCACCCTTCCTATTGCCATAAACTCCTCATCAGTATTTCTGGGGTAGAATTGTGGAAGCTGGTTTAAAAAAAATCCCCCCAAGCACTGGAGGCACATACTTATCATGCCGGCCGGCCCACTGGGAGGCTGAGGCAGGAGGGTCTCAGGTTCAAGCTCAGTGTAAGCAACTTAGAACCTTGGCCAGACCCTGGCTTAAAATATAGCTTGGGGATATAGCCCAGTGAAAAGGCCCTGGATTCAGTCCCTAATACCAAAAAACTCCCCCCAAGGGGGTGGGACTGTGTAGCTCAGTGGTGGAGCACTTGCTTGGGTTCAGATCTCACTGACTACTATCCCCCCCGCCCCCCGAAAATCCCCACCTAAGCATCTGATACTGGTCCAGGGTTCAGAAGCACAGAATAAGGAGCAAAAACTACCAGGAGCAACTAGATGTTGGCAGGATGTGAAGAAGGCAGGAGGAGGGAGGGTACTCCTGGGCTTTTGGCTTGGGGCCCACTGAGCCTGCCATTGGCCAGGTGGCTGGCAAGGTACCAGTGTGGTCCTGGCCACTTTTTTTTTTTTTTTTCAGAACCGGGGATTGAACTCAGGCCCTTGCGCTTGCCAGGGAAGCGCTTATTCCACTGAGCCATCTCCCCAGCCCCATGGCCACTTCTATTCAGAGGACATCTGAGCTCCAGAGGCCACCTCTAGAGACCTCCTCCTCTCCAGTCCAGCCCCATTCGGGAGCTTTGAGTGCAGCTGCCTAGATTCCTAGAGAACTGGGGTCCTGACTACTTGGCAGGCATCTGGGTGCCCACTTGGTCCACGTGTGGGACACCCATCCCCACCCGATCCAGCCCAAGACAGTGAGAAGACGAGTGCCAGGCCAGCCTCATTACCTAGTTCCATTTAGGTCAAAAATGTTCAGGTTGGGGGCCAAGGAGATGGCTCAGTGGAATAAGTGCTTTCCTGGCAAGCGCAAGGGCCTGAGTTCAATCCCCTGTTCTGGGGGAAAAAAAAATGCCCAGGTTGCCCACCAGGAGGGGTAGGGCTCTGCTGTCTACAACCTATGTCCTTGTCACTGAAATCACTGTCAAGGAAAGCTGATAACAACCTGAGTTAATCTTCAGGGTGGGGGCCGGGGAGATAGCTCAGTAGAATAAGTGCTTGTCTGGCAAGCGCAAAGGCCTGAGTTCAATCCCTGGTTCCACCAAAAAAATAAAAATAAGTCCTTTATTTGAGCCCCCAAATCCAGCTGTATCACTGGCAGGGAAGGACCTGGGGCTTTTCCATGGCAGGAAACACTACATGGTCTGGCCCCTGGCCGCGGCAATGAGACTGCTCAGACCCTAGTCAGCAACAGATTCAGTACACGCGCTGTACGAAGACCAAGGCAGAATGGGGCAGAGTGATGTTCCTGGAAAGGGCCTGAAGGAGAAGGAAAGCTTAACTGGAGAAGAGAGGCTGTGGACGCTGCTTTAGGTCACAGGGGGAGGGCACCAGCGGGTTCTTTATGGTCTGTGGCCCAACCACAGGAACGGGAAGGAATTGCACTGTCGGGGCTCTGGTAGCGGTAGCGGGCAGAGCTGCCTGGGAAGCTAGTGGGCAAGGAGACAGTTATGGGGCTCCAGGGGCAGTGGATGAAGCAGAGGGCTGGGCTGAGGCCTCCCAGAGGGAAGCAGCCAGGGGCGCAGGGAGGACCGGAGCAGCATCCGCCCAGGGTCTCACTCATCGGAGCTGCAGCTGGCTGGACCACACCTGGAAAGATAGGTCCCCAGCTGACAGGTGGCCAGGCTGAAATCCAGAAGCTGCCAACCCAGACCCCAGGGCCTCTGAGGACAGAGTTAGCATTCATGACCCCCAAGAAAAGGCTGAAGGACACCATCCTTCACCTTTCCCATCCTCCTGCTCCTCCAGATCCCAGAACAGATTATGTGGGACCCTGGGACGCACAAGCACCCAAGGTCACCTCCCAACCCAACTGGCTCCCCAGGATGGGGAACTGGGCTTCCACAGCCTGCAGCGTGCCTCAGTTTCCCTCAGGAGTGCTCTGACTCAACTCCTGGGCCCAGCATGTAGTCCAAAAGTGTGAAAATAGCTGCTGGGTGCTCTGTGGCTGTGGAGGAATGGGGGAGGGGTGGCCACCTGGCAGCAGCCACAGACACTGGTGAGGAGCAGGAGTGGGGGTTTATTTTAGCTGCCGGGGGAGGAGGTGTGAACTCTTGATGGGAGGCGGTCCTTCTGAGCCACCCCAGAAAGCTCCAGCCACCCCTCTTCTGGCGGTGGGTCCCTGCTTTGTCGGGGTAACAGCCTAGCCTGGGAGTCTCTGCTGTCCCCTACTTCCCTGCAGCCAGGTGGCCCTGTCCCCATTTCACAGAAGAGCAAACACCCAGAGAGGCTGTCTTCAGCCAGGCCCTGGCCTGATGGCTTCTTAATCACTGTCTGCCTCAGTCCTGGTGAGAGCCCCACACAGGTATAGACCCTAGGCTGGAACTGGTGGGGCCCGCCCCTGCTGTGCAGAGGGACGCTGGCCTGGGAGTAGAGTGGCTGGACCTGGCTATGACCAGACCCCCAGAAGCCAGAGGCACCATCACACCCCACCCCGCCCATGGTGCGGTGGCTTTGTGCAGCTGCCCTGGGGTGGGGCCACGAAGCCAGGTGGAAACATGACCTGCCACCTGCCAGGCTGCTGCGGGGCTGGAAGGAGGAGCAGCAGAGTCCCATACCCAGACCAACAAGGGGAGAGGGACTGCAGGGTGGGCACACCTGCAACCCTACACGGCCCCACCCAGACAGTAGGCAGAAGGCTAGATGGCCTGGCATCTTCGCTGGGCCACATCCTGGCCAAGGTTTGCCGGGCCTGGGACAGTGAGGCTAGGCCTGCGCATCCAGAGCATTTGGGACAAGGTGCTTGAGACCTCCTGCTGGTCATGGAAGCCTGCACAGAGGAACCTGTTTCCAGGCCGGCAAGATAGCTCAGCAGATTAAGTGCCTGCTTAGGCAAGAACAGGGACTGGGGTTCAATCCAGTGGGATTACATGCTGTGCCACCCCATGCCCACCCCCATCCCCGAGCATGCTGAGCCAGCCACCAAGATTGGGCATAGTGGTGCACACCTGTAATCCCAGCACTTGGGAGGCTGAAAACAGGAGGATCACGAGGGATCTGAGGTGTGTAGTGATACCTGTACCAAATACATTTTTAAAAAAAGGCAGGGAGCACCTGTTTCCAGCAGGGCCTGGGGACCTCGAAGCCGGGCCAAGGCCCAACCAGCCCAGGGACACACCAGCCGGTGGGCTGGCTTTGGGTGCGTGCTTCTCTTGTTCTCAGAGCAGGGCCTCCCCAACAGCCAGGTAGGGATAGGGCACTGGACCAGGGAGGAAGTCCCTGACCTGCAGCTGAAGACCTCTGTCCTTACCCTGGGTGCTTAGAGGTCCTAGGGGTCTCCTGGGAGCTGGAGGCGCAGCCTTATCTGTCCGTGTCTGGGGATGCCAGTGTGACTAGATGCCCAGCAAGCTGGGCCCAAGGTTCACTGACACGTGTGTGACCTGCACAGGCCAAGGACAGCGATGATGAGGAGGATGTCAGCGTCACCGTGGACCGAGACCGTTTCATGGATGAGTTCTTCGAGCAGGTGGGCACCAGCACAGTGCCTCCGGCTCACACAATGTCCTAGACCTTGGGTGGCTGCTTCAAACCCCCAAGCCGGGCCAGGGCCACCCCCCCCAAGGGGCCCCATCTGCAGGAGCACCCCATGCCCTCCTGCCCCACCCTGCCCCACCTCACCTGCAGGCCTGACCACCCTCCTGGCGCCCCTTGCTGGATTTGGTCCTCCTGACGCCTGGCCCTGGTTCCCAGGTGGAGGAGATCCGAGGCTTCATTGACAAGATTGCGGAGAACGTCGAGGAGGTGAAGCGCAAGCACAGCGCCATCCTTGCCTCCCCCAACCCCGATGAGAGTGAGTTGGGGGCAGGTGGCTCTAGGACCCAGCACCCCTCACTGTTGCTGGGGGTGGCCCAGTTCTGCAAGACGCCTAAGGACACACAGCTGTCCTGGGGCTGCGGATGAGGGGTCAGCGCCCACAATCACCAGCCACCAACTGATACGGGTCTCACACAGGAACTTGGAGGTGGGACAGATGTCCTTTTGGGAGCTAGATGGGGTCCCATGGTCACCCCACCCTGCACAGGAATACTGGCTTTTTCTTAAGGCCACTGTGGTGCTATCTTGGGGTTTGGTGAAGGAAGGACAGGGAGGAGCAGCCTCTGATCAATAGAAGGCCGCCCCACCTTCCGCCCGTCCCAGGAGCAGATGGCAGTGCCAAGGCAACATTACCGTGGGAGGGTAGGCTGGCCAGGCAGGCCGCTTCCAGCAAGCATGCAGCCCTGGCACCTGGCCACTTGGTACCCTGTAGCCAGCCATGCTCAGGGCTCTAGGAAGTCCCCTCTCCCTTTGCACCAGAAGCTACCTGGGTGCTAGATTCCACTCTGCCTTTAGACACGCCCCCTTGCCCAGCACTCACATTTGCAGGAAGATACTGACTGCCCTACCAATATGTGCCAGGGTACCAAGCCACGGCCCAAGTCCTCATCCCTGGAGGGAGCTTAGCCACAGTGCGGGCCCAGGAAGGCTGAGATCGGCCCCCGTAGTGGGCAGCTGAGAGTTCACTTGGACTCAGTCCAGGGTGCTTGCCCACTGCTGATTCTCATCCTTTTGCCGAAGGTGCCAGCATGTAGGAGACATGAGGACACACGGGAAGGGCCCCAGTCCTGGCTGTGCCCAGGTATCCAAAGGGGCAAAACCTGGCCATTCAGATACCCGATGTATGGCTTCCTGTCCGGGGTCCCACACCCCCCACGCCCTCAGTACTCTTGAAAGACCAGGATCAGCTTCCTCAGCCCAGAGTGGTGTGAACCAAGGCCCCACTCACCATGCCCAGGGCCCAGCCCTGCCAACAGTGGGTGGCTGGGAACTGTCCCAGAGGGGCTGCCAGTACAGTCACCAGGTGTCACCCCCTCCCCAAAGACTTATCCAGGGAGACCGTGTGCCATGTACCCATGCGTATCTGGGTCACTGCACGTCCCTGTGTGGGCTGCTCCTGCTGAGGGTCAGGAGGACTGATCATGGGGTAGAAACAGAATACTCTGAAGAGTAGGGGTGGGAGTGGGCTCCTCTGCTATAGAGGAGGTTGGGCGAGGGGCTTCCTCCTAGCATCTACTCCTCCCTGCTGTGTCCTGCAGTGTGAAGGGCCCCTGGGACCTGGCTGAGATCTGAACTCACTTAGGGCAGGCACCTGGTAGCTGAGCTAGAAGGAGGTGGCAGTGGTGGTAGCCTGGTAGCCGTTGTGGTGGTGGCAGCAGAGGGCTCTCCTGGCCCAGGCTGCTCTGCCTCCTCTGGGGGCTGTCATCCGGCTGGGCTATTTTGGGTCTGAGCAAAAGAGGCAGAGACATCAGAGCAGCTGGTAACCAAGTTTCCCTTTGTTCGTGCTAGAGAGGCACCCTCCTCCGCTCTGTGGCGCCCCCCACCCCATGTTTCCCTTGGAGCCCCCCACCCCCCCATCCATCTAGGGCCTGGGATATGCCACTGTTTGCACCCTTCCCCAAGCCCCCCAGGGAGAAACTCCAGCCAGGAGGGTGCAGTTGGAAAGGTGTCAGATAGCAGCCCAGTCCCACTTCCCCACCAGAGCTTGAGGGTTGCCAGGCATGCCCCAGAGGGACAAAGCCAGTGCTGCTGGGAGGCAGATAAGCAGGGTACCCTTGGAGCCTCTGTCAGTGCAGGGAGATGGTTCTAGATAGAGCAAGGGGCACGAATACTGTGTCACTGCCCACCATCACCAACCTGCCACTTCCAGGGCCCACCTGCTTGCACCTCCTTAGGCCACCACCTGGGCATGGTGCCTTCATCCCCAGCTACTTGGTGGTGCTCAGCACCTGAGGGCAGCTTTGGAGGAGACCAGGGCCTGCCTCACTTGGGGCCTTGCAGGTGACCCTGGGGAAGGGGGTGACACAGGGTTCCTGCTATCCTGGTCCCCAGTAGCCACTGGCCAGCAGGTAAGGCCAGGTGAGCCTGTACGCCATCTTTGACTCAGGCAAGTACCAAGTACACATTCACCATTGCCAACTCCAGCCCTGCCAGCTGCTCCACAATTATTCCTGCCTTAAATTTAGACCCATCTGTTATCTCCAGGGGGTGGGAGCTGGCGAAGGAGGCAGGAGGTGCCTTGGAAGGCAGTGAGGGGGTGATGCTACAGCTGGGTGGCCTGGGCCCAGAATGGGAGCAGGCAGAGCCCAAGCCAGGGGAGGGCCAGGCCCAGGAGCCCACGAGCTTGAACCTCAGGCAGTGGGAAGCCAGGGTGTCTACACCCCACCCCTTCTGCCTCCTCAGAGACCAAGGAGGAGCTGGAAGAACTCATGTCTGACATAAAGAAGACAGCAAACAAAGTTCGTTCCAAGTTAAAGAGTGAGTCCATGCTTGGCTTATCTGAGATGGTCGGGTAGTGGCCTAGTCCTGCTTCCTCAGGTAGCCCGTGTGGTGTCGCTGACCCTGAGGGCGACACGGGGTCCCTTTTTGAGAGTGACGTTTTGGGCCAGGCCTCTGGGCTCAAGCCAGGGACACAGATAGCCGAGGCTTTGTGAAAGACCTGCTACCGTCAGGCCACTGGCCCTCATGCCTGCCAGAGAAGGTTAAGGAAAGCCAGACCCAGTGATGTCCCCCTGTAATCCTAGCTACATGGGAGGCGAAGGAAGGAGGACCACAAGAGTGAGGCCAGCCTGGACTATATATGGCAACACTGTCTCAAAAGGAACTAAGAGCCACATGTTGGTCCAAACTTGTAATCCCAAACACTATGGGAGGCTGAGGCAGGACTGCTGTGAGTTCAAGGCCAGCCTCAAGACCCTGTCTCAAAAAAAAAAAAAAAAAAAAGCAGCTCCTCCTGGCCGGGGGAGGCTGCCCAATGTTAAGTGAATGCAGACACGTGGCTGCCTATTCTGAGGGCCACAAGTTCTGCAGGTGGCATGGGCCTTGTGAACAGCCTCCCAAACAGAATGGCACCTGTGGAGGGACAGTGCCTGGGCCACAGACCTGGCACGCAGTAGGCGCGAACCCCAGCTGAAGGGCCCAGGTGGGCTGCCCTTCGCCCTGTCTGGCAGCCCATCCTCCTCTGCTTGCCCCAGTGATCCCACATCGATTGTCACACAGAGACCAGAGGGGCATCGGGAGCAGGGCCTGGGGTTGGACGGCACGGGAGTGAGTGAGGAGGGGGAGTGGGTGAGGAGATCGTAGCTCAGCATCGCGCCCGCCACCGCCCCAGGCATCGAGCAGAGCATCGAGCAGGAGGAAGGCCTGAACCGCTCCTCCGCAGACCTGAGGATCCGAAAGACCCAGGTGCGGCGGGCCCCGGGGCTGGGAGCTGCCCGAGTCTCCAAGCCCCGGTGCCGCCTGACACCCGCTGTCCTATCTCGCGTCCCCAGCACTCCACGCTGTCCCGGAAGTTTGTAGAGGTCATGTCAGAGTACAACGCCACGCAATCCGACTACCGCGAGCGCTGCAAGGGCCGCATCCAGAGGCAGCTGGAGATTAGTGAGCTGGGGGCGGGACCTGAGCTCCGGCAGGGCTTCGGGCCGGGGGCGGGGCCCTAGCTCGGGGGGCGGGGCTTGCCGCGGAATGGCCAGGGCCAGGCTGCTGCAGAGCTCTCTGGGCCTGGCCCTGCTTAGTGCGACCCTCTGCAGCTGGCAGGACGACGACCAGTGAGGAGTTGGAGGACATGCTGGAGAGTGGAAACCCTGCCATCTTTGCCTCTGGGGTAAGCATGCACTCCGCCCCTCCATCCTTGACTCCCAACCATACCCACCCACTGAGACCCAGTGAGTGTGCCCAGCACTGGGTCTGAGCAGTATTTGAACACAGCCACCCTGTGAGCCAGGTCTAAGAGAGCTGAGTCACAGAGAGGAAGTATTTGAGGCAAAGGTGGACTGGAGCCATGCCCCAGCTTGGCGTAGGGCACACACCTGCAACCCCAGCACTCTGTAGGAAGACTGCAAGTTCCAGTCCCATTTGGGCAATAGAGACATAGATCCTGTCAATAAAAAAGAGGTGAGCTGGGCATGGCAGTGCACGCCTATAATTCCAGCACTCAGAAGGCTGAGGCAGGAGGATCATTTTGAGTTTGAGACCAGCCTGAGCTACAAAGTGAGCTGAAGGCCAGCCTGAACTGCATAGTGAGGCCCTGTCTCAAGAAGACATAAATAGGCTGGAGATATAGCTCTTTGTGAAGGTCCTGGGTTCAATCCCCAGTATAGGTGGAAAAAAGCCCCAGGTGTCCCCAGTTGGATCCATTTCCTTGCTATCCCTTATCGTTTGCTAGTGGCCGAGAATTCTCGTGTCACTCTCAGGACCTTTGACCTTTCCTGGAGGACATTGGGCCCATGCTGGGTGAGAGCTGTTTTCTATCTGCAGGGGCTGCCCCCTGAAGGAGGGGGCACCCAGGTGTGGAAGGCAAGGGAGAAAGAGGCCGAGTTCATGCAGGAGGGAGAGTGGCCCTTGGGACAGTTACCTTGGGCTCTCTAACCTGCTGCCAAGGCCTGTCACATACTGAGCCCTGACGGAATCACAGGAGGGCATGTTATCAGCCCTGTATTACAGGTAGAGAGGTTAGGTGACAGGAACACAGCGGCTACAGAGGGAGCTCCTGCCTCCCCTTTCTGGAACGCCTTCGCACCCCAGCTGCCTTTCATCTTCCCTGTCCTGGTCCCCTACTTCCCAAGCCCTGGCCAGGGCTCTGGGTCTCAGCTCCTGTTTCTGCCCCCAGATCATCATGGACTCCAGCATCTCGAAGCAGGCTCTGAGCGAGATTGAGACCCGGCATAGTGAGATCATCAAGCTGGAGAACAGCATCCGGGAGCTGCACGATATGTTCATGGACATGGCGATGCTGGTTGAGAGCCAGGTAGGTGCCCAGGCCATGCCCCCCACCTGCCCACAGCAGCACCTGGGGCTTCCCTAACCCTGCCGTTTCTGCCCAACATGCTGCGTTGCTGGGAGGGACCAAGTGCTCAGGTAACCAAGCATCTGCTATGGGAAGCACCTCAGGGCCCCTGCAGGACCCTGTCTGCATGGCTGCGCTTGGCCTTCCAGGACCCCAGGCCCTGCATGGCCCCAGGCCCTACCCACCCCTGCCCTTACTCATCTCTTTATCAAGTGCTACTGGGATGGCATGGCATGTGGTACAAGGGATGAAACCTGGATCCTTGTGCTTTCCAACAGGTGCTTAGACCACCAAGCTATCTCTTCAGCCCTTCCCTGGCCTTTTTGAGACAAGTTCTCATTAAGTCACTAAGTTGCCCCGCCAGGGGTCCAACTTGGGATCCTCCTGCCTCAGCCTCCTAGAGTATGTGTACCACCATATGCAGTTTTGTTTTATTCTTTTAAGTGGTGAAAAAGTGTATATTTTGAATTAGCCATCTGGACTCAGTTTAGTTGATCCTAGTTTTGCTGGCAACATAACCAGGAGCCAGCCAGGCATAGGCCATCTTCTCCCTGTGGGGGCATGATGACCTTGCCACACTGATGTCAGAGAGCTTCTTTGCACCTGTTCAGTCTGGTGCTTGTCGCCTTGACACCCATAATGAACACCTGTGTCTTGTCTCTCTTCATTGGGCCAGCTGTGGGGCCAGGGGAGCTTGGTACTCCTCAGGGTGCTCTGAGGGTATCAGGGCTTCCTTCAGAGCCAACAATGTCTGGGCCTCTGCAGCGTGGGTGACATGTAGATATTTTTGTGGCTGTGGACATTTTTTGGCCTCCAAAGCCTTTGCATTACTTTGGGTGTTGAGAGAGACAGAAGTTTGCTTGCCATGTCCTCTTGGTACAGTCTAGAGGCTCTTCTTGTTTTTTTTTTTTTTCTTTCATTTTTGTTTCTTGAGCCCGGGTCTCACTGTGTAGTCTAGGCTGGCCTTGAGTTTGCTAAGCTGCCCAGGCTCAGCTCAAAGTCCAGCGCCTGCTGCCTCAGCCTCCTGAAAGCTGGCATTGTGGGTGTGCACCACCATGCCCAGCTTGGTTGAGGGGCTTAAGCATGGGAGAGACGTGAGCTTAGCAGTAGGAAGGCCACAAGGAAGCTGCTTCTATGTCCTGGTGAGATGCCGACCATGGTGACACAGATACTGTGAAGGCATCTGAACTGGAGGGTGAGAGCCACTGTTGCTGGGGCCTCAGGGTCACTGTCTTATTGGTCGCCAGAAGGACCATGGAACGAGAATACAGTGCTCAAGAGAGCTCTGGGGCTGTCTGTGGATCTTAAACAAGATATCTGGGAGGGCTCAGCATGGCCACCTTGAGAGTGACAGCCAGGGTGGGCTCAGACTCTAGTCCACCTGTTCTGCCTCCCTCCTCGAACCAGGCCAGGGGCTGAGCATTGTATGCATGATCCCCACTTGGCTGAGACTGCATGGTCCGCTCCACCCCCAGGACAGCTGCTCTGCAGGGAGGGGGGCTGCCCCAAGCCCTGTGCCCTCCATGCCCTGGCTAGGGCCTGCCCTGGGCACAGGTGTGCAGTGACAGCCTGGCCTCACCTCCTCACCTTTCTCTCTGCTTTCAGGGTGCTTCCCTGAGGCCCCTCCCCAAGCCTTCCCACCACAAGGAGGGAGCCCTCTGGAGCTTGGGCGCCCCTGGCCCCACAGGGAGAGATGATTGACAGGATCGAGTACAATGTGGAGCATGCAGTGGACTACGTGGAGCGGGCTGTGTCTGACACCAAGAAGGCTGTCAAGTATCAGAGCAAGGCACGCCGGGTGAGTTGCCAGCTCAGCCTAAGCTGCACCCCAGTACCCACTGGAGCCCCAAGTCCATCCCTTTGCCCTACCCATTCTGCCTCCCCCCATCTGGAAGCTGACTATAGGCTGTCACCTACCCACCCCAAGGCCCCAATTCAGCCCTCAGCCCTCCACCTCTCCAGCTGCCCACTGAGATCTCTCCTTCCTGCCCCCTTGCAGAAGAAAATCATGATCATCATCTGCTGTGTGATCTTGGGCATTGTCATTGCTTCCACCATTGGAGGCATCTTTGGATAGAGTCCCACCTGCCATTTCTGTCCGGACGGCCATCCTGTGGAGGTCCCTGGCTGCTGCCGCCTGGCTGGGTTGCCCTCCCCCTTCTGGCTCGGACACCCTCATTGCTACCCACCCTGCCCCTCTCCCCCAGGGCCCCATCCCCACCCTGCCCTGGCCCATGTTGTTTGCATGATCTGTGACAGTGTGTGTCTGTGCAGAGGTGGAGCACAGCAGGGCTGGGGATGGGTCCCTGCAGGAGTCTTGGGGCCTGGTCCGAGTTGTCCAACCCTTACTTGGGGTCCACCCTTCCCTGGGCTCCAAGCCCACTCTGGACCCCATCCTTGCCCACCTTCCCTGCCCATCCTCCCTGCCCCCATCCTCTCCAGCTGTCTCCTCAGTGCCGAGCCCAAAGGGTGGGGACCAGCTGGCCACATGGTGCTGCTTTCCAGGGGAGGGGTGGCCCTGGGGGACAACCCCGCACTAAGCCTCTAATCGCTGACCACTGCCAGGAGGCTTGCTACCCTACCTGGGCAAAGCCAGCAGGTCCCACCACAGCCTCCCTACCCGCATCCTGAAGCCCCAGGAGACACCCTCTGGGCTGCACTGCCTGTGCTATCCGAGCTGGCGGCACAGAAGCTGCTGTCCCCAAGGGCCTGTCAGGTTGGAAAGCCAGTGTTGCATGTTTGGGACAGTGGTCCTCCTCTTGGGAAGTCAGACTTTACTCAGGCCTGCAGTCTCATCCTGCCCTGCTGCCCCCTTTGATGTGCCACGTGGTGTCAGGTGTCTCCGATGCGATGCAGTATTCAGCAGCCAGCCTTGGGGCGCCCTGAAAACCGCCCCACCCACGCCCCCTCTTGGACTGGCGGGAGGTGCACGCAGGCGCATGCGCGGGGGCGGGGCCGTGTCTGCGCCCCACCTTTCCTCGGCTTCGCTCCTGCCCCAGTGACTGTGACCACTGCCCTTGCTGCCTTCTCCCTTCGCCCCTCACCAAAGGTCTTGGTACAACCAGCTGCCCATTTTGTGAAATTTTTATGTAGAATAAACATTTGTATATGTCTGACTGCAGTGTTGCAGCCTAGCACTAGGGCGTGGGGCGCAGAGGGGAAGGAGCTCAGAGGCCAAGGATTCCAGCCCCACAACAGCCAAGCTGCAAGCCAAGCTTGGGACAGGGTGGACCTGTCCCAAGCCCCACCTGACCCCCTGAGGTGGCCAGTCTGTCAAAATACCCGGTCTGCAGTCTAATGCTGCAGGGGAGACCCCACTCGGGTTAGCTCTGTGGGCCCTAAGGCTCAGCCCTGAAGGTCTCCGCTGCTGTGCTGCCCATGTCGGTCCCACACCATCAGGCCTAGACCTGGTCCCTCCTCCTCCTTCGCCCCAATCCCTCAGGGACACCAAGGTCTCTTGCCAGCCTGCTGCATGCACCAGAGCTGGGCTCCCCCACCACCCCAACACTCCCAATGAGGCAGGAGGCACCCCCGAGGCCATGGAGTGTGGGGGCTTTCAGACACCTCATACCCCGGTGCCCCAACTATGCCACTTAACATAGCCACACAGGAGCCCCCCCACCTGAACTCTGCTCAGGCTTAAAAGGGTGTTTTCTCCATCTCGGTTCTTTAAATCCAATTCCTGCCTTTGAGTCACATAAGTTCCACAGAATGTGGCTTTTTGCTTTTTATTTTAGAGTAAAATAACAAACTCTTGGAAACTTTTTTAGAAAAAAATATTCTTAGAACTGTAGAACTCCTCTGAAGCACCACCAAGTTGCCAGTGGCGGGGGCAGATTTGCCGCTCAGAAGCGAGGCCTGCGCTTGCGGCCGGTGTACTGGGTATCAGGCCGGACTTCCCTGTGCCAGGACGGAACAGGGTCTCAGAGCGGACCACAGGCAGGAGCCCCCACCCAGTAGGTGGCTTCCCCTAGCCCGTGCCCCAGCACTCACTTGCCCTGCCGCCGTCGGCGCGCCTTTTTCTCTAGCACCCACTCTCTGCTCTTCTTCACCATGCCCCGCCGCGCCAGCCCGTGCTGCGCCCTGTGTCAAGAAGGCTGTGATGACTGACAGCTGCTCTCTGACCCCTTCATCCCTGTGGGGGTGAGCTTCCTTCTGAGGTGGGTGGGTGCAGACACCCCTTGTTTCCACTGTTCCACTCTCCCTCAACAGTCCCCTCCCTGGCCATTCCCTTCCTGTATGATGCTCCAGCAGGGGCGCCTGCGTAACAGGAGGGTGGGATGTGCACCCCCTCACCCACCCCCTGTAGGTGGGACACGTGCACACTGGCCATGAGGTGGGTGAGGGAGACCCCCTCAGGGCTCAGCGTGCCTGCCATAGCAAGTTTCCAGCCACCACACTTGTCAGAGGCAGGAAAACAAGGCTGCCCGCTCGCGGCAGCTCTGACGATGCTCCTCTAGGGCTGATCTTGGCCTCCAGCCCTGGCTGAGGAGCAGGGGGATCCCCAGCAGCCCAAGGGGTGAGAGGCCCTGAGAAGAGAGGAAACCAGGCTCCTGCAAGCCACATCACCACTGGCAAGCACGCTGCTCCCCACGGAACCTGCAGGCGTGCTTGCCACATGCATCCTCCACTGGAGCTCTGGCAGGCCCTGCCTTGGTGCTCAGGAAGCAGCCTCGGCCTTCCCCGCCCAAGGATTTTCGACAAAAGACCAGGACAATCCCAGCGGAGCTGGCACCTACAGGAAAGGGCTGCGACCCAGGATGTCTGTGTGGGACTGGAGCAGAGACCTGGGGAAAGAGAAACTTGGGGCGGGCTAAACACCAGTGTGGGCTCTGTTCCTTCCAGGGGGCGGCGGGAGATTCATCCAACAACGAGACACTGTCTAGACTTCAGGGTGTCTAGAGAAGGGTTTACAGGGGGACTCAGAGGAGGCCACACAAGTAGGGAGAGGAAACGGGGACCAAATGCTAGAAGGGCCACAAGGCCCTGGGGATAGTGCAGAGAAACAAATGTGGACAACTAGTGAGTGTCATTGGAGCACTGGGACATGCTAGGCCAGGGCAAAGCAAATGGCAAGAGACGAAGCCCCAAGGTCACACAGGAAGCACACGTGGGGCAGAGGTGAATGGGGACAGGATGTGAGCCACTGAGGAGAGGCACAGACATCAGGGAGGCAATGGAGCAGGGAAGCCAGAGAGGGGCCAGGAATAAAGCAGGCAGGGACAGTGGCCAGCAGCACTATGTACCAGGCCTTCAGGGGTACAGTTCGGGACAGGGGCTGCAAGGATGCAGGAAACAAGCAATACAAAATGTAGACCAGAACTCAGGTAGGCACAGGCTTCAAACTGGCTCTTAATCCACCTGTCTATTAAAACTGTCTGCAATCTGATTAGGCAGAAGGGGCAGCAGCAGAAGCCCCTGGGTGTGCACACTTACATCCTCATTTCTGTCTGCTCACTGGAGGATGAGGCACATGGCTGAGCCCTCTGCCCTTGGCACAGTGCCAGCCACACCGGTGCCACCCCTCTCATGAGTGGGTGGGGACAGACTTACCCCATCTATGGAAGGGACATGTGGTCAGCAGACACCAATGAGAGCACAAGAGGGACCTAAGATGCTCTGAGGAAGTGGGCCCGCCCTTTTCAGTGGGGGATGGGTGCTCCCCAGGAGCAGTCAGAGCACAGACATCTGCAAGAGGCCCGGGTCCCCAACAAGGTGGCTGGGGAAGCCAAGAAATGACTGGAGGGCCAAGGGTCAGTGACATAAGCCTGGGGTCACCACAGGAACACTCAGGATTTCTTTTTTTTTTTTTTTTCCCCAGAATCGGGGATTAAACTCAGGCCCTTGCACTTGCCAGGCAAACACTTATTCTACTGAGCCATCTCCCCAGCCCAACACTCGGGATTTTTGCACTGGGGAGCCATCCCAACTCACTCATTTCCGCCCGCTTTTCCTCTTGATGTGCAAAGTCTTACAACCCATTAGTCACATCAGGCAGGACGAAGAATCTCCCTCTTCTCTAAAAAGACTGTTCCCAACATCAGAGAAGTCAGGGCCACCAAGGAATCACCGTAGCTGGGCACATAGTGACCCATACACAAAAATGCATGGTTTGCAACAGTGAGGGGTGGGCTAAAGGGAAGGACAATGCAGCTGCAGATACGGGGCTAAGAAGTAAGGAGAGATGGTCTACATGTTAGGAAGAGAAGAGGATAAGACACTCTTGCTGCCATGTAATGAACTGCTGGCAGGGAGCCTCACAGACAACCATGCATTGAGGCAGGTAGGGGTGGGGACAAGGGCCCAGGAGAAGGGGGAAGACTGGGAACAGGCATGGAGGGAAGGGACAGCAGGACCTGTTGGTGGGGCAGCTGGCTGTGAGGAGGAAGCCAGGCGGTATGCAGAGGAAACCTAGAAAGTGAGAGAAAAAGGGTTTGGCTTGGCTGGAGATACCAGGGCAAAGCCAGGCACAGACACTGAGGCAGCAGCTACCAGATCAGAGAGGTGTGACATTTGCTTGGGATTTTTGTTGTTTCTGTACCAGGAATTGAACTCAGGTTCTTGCACTTGCCAGGCAGGTGCTGGGCCACTGAGCTACATACCTGGCCAGTTGTGACATTTGGGCAGCTGGCCATCTGGGTGCACACTTGTGATCCCAGCACTCAGGAGGCTAAGGCAAGAGGATCCCAAGTTCAAGCCCAACCTGGGCAACCTAGCAACTTCATCAGGGTCTGTTTCAAAATAAAAAATATAGCTGGGCATAGTAGTAGTTACCTGTAATCCCAGCACTCAGGAGGCTGAGGCTGTAGGATCACTGAGTTTGAGGGCATCCTGGGCTACATAGTGAGTTTAAGGCTAGCCTGAAGTACATTCCAAGACAGTGTCTCAAAAAACTAAAATTAAGACAATCCACCGCGCTCTTCCTTTCCAATTTGGGCCCGGCAGAATGGCTCCTGCAAAGAAGGGTGGCGAGAGGAAGGGCTGTTCTGCCATCAACGAGGTGGTGACCCGCGAGTACACAATCAACATTCACAAGCGCATCCACGGAGTGGGCTTCAAGAAGCGCGCCCCTCGGGCATTTAAGGAGATCCAGAAGTTTGCCATGAAGGAAATGGGGACTCCAGATGTACGCATTGACACCAGGCTCAACAAAGCTGTCTGGGCCAAAGAAATAAGCAATGTTCCATATCGTATCCGAGTATGGTTGTCCAGGAAACAGAATGAGGATGAAGATTCACCAAACAAGCTGTATGCCTTGGTAACCTACGTACCTGTTACCACGTTCAAAAATCTCCAGACAGTGAATGTGGATGAGAACTAACTTGGAAATAAAATTACAGAACTGCCAAAAAAAAAAAAAAAAAAACCCACCCTAAAATTAAATGACTAGTGATCCTCCTATTTTCAGCCTGCCCAGGGCTGGATTACAGGTATGTACTACCATGCCCAGTCTCAGTGGTGGCTCAGCTTCCTAGGGACGGGGACAGGGAGGCATATGGTGCTGGGGACCTAACCCCTGTCCCTGTACTTGCCTAAGCGGGCACTTAGTCCACTGAGCTATCTAGCTGGTCCTTAAAATGTAAAAGGCCTGAGGATGTAGCTCAGTGTGAAGGCCCTAGTCCAATCCCCAGAACCACAAAAAAAAAAAAAAAAGGTATTAGGGGCTTGTCTTTAAGTGGATATTTAAAGGGGTACAGATAAGAGTACAGCAGGGGAAGAGGCAGCCAGAGAGGCAAAGAGCACCAGGAGTCAGGAGGGGAAAGCAGAAGTGTCAAGAGGACACAGGTGCATCTTAGACCCATGCAAGCTGGTAGGTCAGATCAGCTCAGCAGAAAGGGAAGGAGTGGGGAGAGTGACTTGGCAAGATGAAGCTGGGGTGGGCCTGCCGAGGACCCTTGGTGATGAGACAGAACTGAGGGTGGAGGAGAAGCAGCAAGAGGTGATGGGTACAAGGAACTTACTGCCCAGAAAGCCTGGCCCAGGGAGTCCAGGAGCTGCTCTGGGCTCTGGGGAGGATCTCTGGGATGCAATCAGGGAAGCATAGACAGATGGGTGCAGGGCAAGGATGGAGGAGGAATGGATGGCGGGCTGCGTATGGCACAGGCCCACAGAGGGAGCCAGGCCTGTACTGCCACACTGTCACCTCCATGGTGGCTCTACCTGAGGCCTGGGGAAACAAAGACACACAAACAGACTGGGTGGTGTTCAAGTTGTTACTTTACCTGTCTTTGGTGAACTTGGACTCTGTGGCCTCTTCTCCATTCTCATTTTCACCCAGTCCCTGCAGGAACCACAGCGGTCTCTGATCCCCCTGGAGCTGTTACCCAATCTGCCCACCCCAGCACTGTGTGTCCAGGCCACAGCCCCTTCAGCAGGCACCAGGCCCAGGCCCCATCTTTAGACCCAGAGCACTCAGGCCTATGGGGGTCTGGGCTGCTGGCTCAGCTGCACTGACTGCCAGTGTCTTCCCAGGCATATTTTCCCAAGCCTGCAGGCCAGGTTCCTCACCTTGGGCAGAGAGGCAGAAGGCCCAGAGAACAGACAGAGGTAGAACCTGGCACAAGAGAACGTAGGGTGAGGACTGGCTCGTGAGGTCTCACCCTCAACCTCCTGCCCACCCGGGGCCCCCCATGGCCCCACCCTCACTTCTTCGCTTTGGCACTGTTAGGGTAATCCACCACCACACCGCCCGTGAAGCCAGCCCGGGTGGCCTGGGTTGTGATGAGCTCCAACTGTGGACAGAAGGGCAGGTGTCAGGCTGGAGATGCAGATCTTCCCCTTCACCCTGCCCCTCTAAAATTAAAGAAAGAAGTAAAATTTAAAAGGCCTGGGGATACACCTCAGTGTAAAAGCCCTAGGTTCAATCCCTAGTACCACAACAAAAGAAAAAAGGTATGAGGGAATTGTCTTTCAGTTGGTATTTAAAGGAGTGCAGACCAAGTCAGGCTGCACTCCTTTCAGTTACCCTTCCTGGTGACAGAAAGTCTCTTAGTAGTCCTCGAAAGCCACATAGCAGAGTGCGGGCCAGCCCATCAAGTCACAGCTCCCTTGGGGGAATTACAGAACAAAGCACTCTGCCCACTCTCACTTTCTAGCTCAGGAATGGGGCCCCACTCTAATCTCAAGAAATGAACTGGGAGCCACTCATTTGTGCTATTGGTCAGGGACAGCTCATCACCTGTCTGGATCTAGCCTTCCTGATTCCCAACTCATCAGTCCTAACCCCTATTGCTGGGGTCCCCACCTCCACTGCAGACCCCCCCCCCACCTTTTACCATCTGTTTCCTGGCATAGAAATGAGGAAATCCTGTTATGCTATCTGCAACATCCTCTTGTCTGTCATATACCAGCAGCCTCCAGATACCAGCCCTTAGGAGGAGGTAACCAATGTGCCATCATGGGTCCCAGGCCCTCTGGTGGCTTATTCCCTCTATTCCAGCCATCAGTCACCTCCCAACACCAAGAGGACAACTCCAGGAGGAGCACACAGCCCACCAGCTCTCAGTCACCCGCTTCCTATGCCCAGCAGCCAAGGGCTTACCTGCTCCGAGTTCTCTGGGTACAGCTGCAGGACAGCCCGGGCCCCACGGACCTGCAAGCAACACAGACGTCACCACTTCACAGATGCCCTGTGGGATCAGACCGGAAGACTTCCTGCCTTTGCTCATTAAATATTCACAGAGCTCCCATTATATTTGAGGCAGTGCTCCTAGGGCTTTGGATACCATCAGCACCCAGAACTAACTGCTGGCACTCAGTGTTGGTGGAGAAGGCAACTAAGCACCAGAAAGAAGGATAAACAGGGACGAGGTGGAGCCCACCGGCAGAGACTTCCGGGTTCCCTCATGGTTGCAGGCCTCTTTGAGGGATGGTTGAGCACAGCCCACAATGGCTACTGGAACACACAGAGGAAGGTGATTTTGGCAAGAAGGAAATTTGAGGATGAACCCTAGCACATGTGGGGAGAACCCATGACATGTGTGAGACTCGCAGCATATCCACGGGCAACAGGCACTGCTTAGGTGCAGCAGCCCAGGAGATAAACTCGCTCCAGGCCTTTAGAAATGTAAAAGAAACTCATCATAGGAGCCTTAACCCACCAGCTGCTCTTAGTGACCAACTGAAATGTGCACCATCCCTGCTATAAAGGTAAGACATACACCCTGAAGGGCGTCCACTGTGCCGGACAAAACTTCTAGTGCCAGGGAGGTAGCTCAGTGGCTTAAATGCCTGCCTGGCAAGCGCAAGATCCTGAGATTGTGCCCCACTACAAAAAAAAATTTTAAAAACTGCTCTGCCCCAATTTTGTGCAGTTCATAACCCCCAAATAACTTATTTTTTAAAAAATTATTTATTTATTTATTTATTTATTTATTTATTTATTTATTTATTT